GTCAGTACAAATTGCTGTCCTGTAAGCAGGAAAGAGTTCAGTCCTTTTAACAAATTACATTTTAGGATGACTTGTTGCACAGAAAAAGATATCTGATATAATCATTCATTACCTACACATATTTCATCACCCTGTGTCTATCCAATATGATTTTTCATGCATTTTAAAACATCCATGTTCATTATTTTCATAATTAATAACTATGTTAACACTGTTCAGTGTTGAAATAAGAACTATGTTATGAATGCCTTTTCTTTCTAGTTCAACATTTGGTTTTCCTGAGATTCTCTTGGTCTTCAAATAAATTTATTCAGCTTTTTTCCAATCTTTTTGATAAGTCTTTTTATAGCCTTCAACACCTTTGTAAAACTACTGTGAATCCAGTCTTCCATAGTATAAACCTGTCAGGAGATGATCACTTTTGATTTCTTCTGGAAATGTGCCTCTCAGAGTTTTGTTCTCTTCTACTTTAATCTGGACTGTTTGCTCTACAAAATGGCTGCCCCACTGTTGCCATAATACTTACTTTCTGATCATATTGGAGGTTCTATTTACCTATTTGCCCTGAGTATACTGTTATATGGCTCCTATCTCTCTCTCTCTCTCCCTCTCTCTCTCTCTCCCTCCTTCCCTCCCTCTCTCTCCATTTCTCCCTCCCTCCCTCCCTCCCTTCCTCCCTCCCTTCCTTCCTCTTTGGTATATCTTTGTTTTGGGGAAACATATCTTTAAAGTTTCTTGAGAAAGCATGCACAAGAAATATATTTTTGAGACTGTGCATAAGGAAATAGTTCAGCCTTCACTCTTGATTCATAGTTTGGCTGGGTATAGAATTATGTTTTTCATTATTTTCTCTGATTATTTTGAAGTTTTACCTTGCTGTCTTCTAATATTGCTGTCAAGATGTCTGATACCATTCTTATTTTCCATTCTTTAAATGTCATTTGTTTTTCCTTCTTAGAGTCTTCTATACTCTCAGGATTTTTTAAAAACAATCATTTTTTATTTATTTATTTTGAAAGGCAGAATGATAGAGGGAAAGGAAGGGGGAGAGAGGGAGAGGAAGAGAGAGAGAGAAAGAGAGAGAGAGAGAGAGAGAGAGAGAGAGGTCTTTCATCTATTGATTCATTCCCCAAATGTCTGCAATAGTCAGGGCTGGGCCAGGCTGAAGATAGAAGCCAAGAACTCAGTCTGAGTCGCCCATGTGTGTGTCAGGATTCCAAATACTTGAGCTGTCACCTGTTGTCTCTCAGGGTACATTAGCATTAGCAGAAAGTTACACTAGAAGTAGGGCCATGACTTGGACCAAAGCACTCTGATATGGGATGCAGCCATGTCAGGGGTGTCTTAACCATTGTGCCAATTGCCTACCCTATTATTTTTCTATCCTCTTCAAATTCAAACCTGTCCATAACTAAACTCATCTTTAGCAAAAGTGCTTGGTGTCCAATCTTTGATTGAACACAATCACTATCTTTCAAGGAAACCCGGCATCATTGGCACCTTTCTTACTCATCCACCAATCCAAGTCCTATATTCCACTCTCTTAAGATTTGTAAATTTATCCAGTTTTTTTTACATATATGTATCTCATAAATACAACATTAGGAACATAGTAATTCTTCCCCGCCTACCCGACTTCCCACCCATTCTACCCCCTTCTTCCTCCCTCTCCCATTTAGTCCAAGAAAGAAAAAGAAATAAGAAAGATGGAATAATAATAATAAAAAAAAAACTAAGAGAACTGTTCCTCAGCAGTCTAGACCAGGGCTGTTCTATGTTATGGCTTCTCGAAAGTGATTTTGCCCCCCCCCCCCCACTTCTGCTTTCCCCTTCCTCCCCTCCCCTTTCCTTTTAGAAACTTAATTGTCTTTAAGGAAGAACCCAAGGATGATACATCTTTTGTGAGCTCTTAGACATAACTATAACTTTTTTTTTGACAGGCAGAGTGGACAGTGAGAGAGAGAGAGACAGAGAGAAAGGTCTTCCTTTTTGCCATTGGTTCACCCTCCAATGGCTGCCGCGGCCGGTGTGCTACGGCCGGCGCACCGCGCTGATCTGATGGCAGGAGCCAGGTGCTTCTCCTAGTTTCCCATGGGGTGAAGGGCCCAAGCACTTGGGCCATCCTCCACTGCACTCCTGGGCCATAGCAGAGAGCTGGCCTGGAAGAGGGGCAACCGGGACAGAATCTGGAGCCCCGACTGGGACTAGAACCCAGTGTGCCGGTGCTGCAAGGTGAAGGATTAGCCTAGTGAGCCGCGGCGCCGGCCATAACTATAACTTATGAGACATAATAATATCCTCCATTTAATACACTAAAAGGAAGTTATTCTTGAGAACAAGTTTTACTATTAAGTCTCATGATACAACTCTGGGGGCAGAGGTCCTGCATGGGAAGTTAGTGCACAGTGACTGTTGTTGTTTATTTAACAAATAACACTCTGATGTATGGCATCAGTGAGCACCCAAGGCTCTTGTCATGAGCTGCCTCGGCTATGGAAACCTTTTGTATCCACTACCTCAACAAGGCCATCAGTAACGTGGAAGTTCTCTCCTCCCTTCAGAGAAAAGTACCTCCTTCTTTGGTGGCCATTTCTTTTCATTAGGGTATCACCCACAGGGGTCCTTTATGAAGGTAGGACTTTTTTTTTTTTTTCCAGAGTGTCTTGCTTTTCATGCCTGAAATGCTCCCCCTGGGCTCTCTAGCCAGACTGGAATGCCTTAAGGGCTGATTCTGAATTTGGAGTGCTTCTTAAAGTGATTGTCATTCTACGAGTCTGCTGTATGGACTGCTTCCCATGCTGGAACCTTCACTCCTTTTTAATTCTGTCTACTATTGTTTCCAAACAGTCTTATTTATATGATCACTTTAGTGCTTGATTCTATCTATATTAGACCATCATTTCTTTTCTTATTTTTTTAAAGATTTATTTATTTGAAAGGCAGAGTTACAGAGAGGCAGAGAGGCAGAGAGAGAGAGAGAGAGAGAGAGAGAGAGAGAGGTCTTCCATCTGCTAGTTCACTTCCCAGATGGCCACAATGGCCAGAACTCTGCCGATCAGAAGCCAGGAGCTTCTTCCGGGTTTCCCACATGGGTGCAGGGGCCCAAGGACTTATCTTCTACTGCTTTCCCAGGCCATAGCAGAGAGCTGGATCAGAAGTGGAGCAGCCAGGACTCGAACCAGCGTATATGGGATGCTGCACTGCAGGCAACAGCTTTACCCACTACGCCACAGCGCTGGCCCCAGACCATCATTTCTGATTTCAAGTATTTACTGTCTTTTAAGATTAGGGTCCTGGGGATTTACAATTCTCATTATTCAGACCACATGTCCTAAGTTGCCTCTTATCCTTGAAAGTGGACAAAAACTCTCTGTCAGGCAATATGTCCTGAGTTTTGGTTTGGGAAGCTGAGCAATTGCACAGTAAAGAACCAGTCAAGTCCTTTCTGATTAGTACAGCCTTTTAGACAGGAAGTCAGCCATTCTACCCCTCTTTTCCTCATGCTGACTGTTTGCAGGCTGCCTCATGGATTGTCCTTGTCCTCACCTCTGGATCTATACTCTACTTAAAGATGCCACCTGTGCAGAATTGATCAGCTAGGGCCTCTAGACATTGACCTGCTGTTCACATAGCCCATGTTTGCTTTTGCTCTCTTGGGAGCAACCATATTATGGCTCCTAGTATTTTTCTTTTTAGCTGTGATAGCAAGCCATATGTATTATATCTTGCATTGAACATTGCTTTATTTCTGTTAAAATACATCTGGAGAGGTAAAGACCATCATGCAATCTTATTATTTTACTGTGGGTCCCAGTTCTGTCACCCAGTGTATTTTCCAGAGCTCTCAGACTTGTGATATTAAAATAATTTTAATTTGAGTTATTGGCCTATATTGTATGTGGCTAGTACTTTAAAGGACATTTGTTGAAATAAAATTCTCCTTGTAAGTGGTTTTTCCTTGGTTGTTGTTTGCCTTGTGAGTACCTGTTTATGAGTTTGAATTTCACCCAGTATTGTTTTTCACAGTAGGAACTTGGGGTCAGAAAAGTATTTTCTGAACTAACACATAATTAAGGAATATAGTTTCTCTGAGAAATAATTTTCTTTCATAATAGAATAGCAGCTATATTCCTATTCAGATACCCATTCCAATATTTGTTCATTGTTTTTCTGCCATGTAAACATTCACAAGTCTGTTTTAGAAATAAGACAACTAGCTACAAATCCTCTTTATCTAGCTTGGATCTGATTTTTTTTTTCTTTTGTAAACTATAGACTTCAGCTTCCTCAGGGGCAAGGTCGATGTTTTATGCTTAGCTTTCAGGTTGTCCCTCCCTCCAAAACAACTTCCTTGATAAGTATTTTTCTCCTTTATGCATTTACATGTTTGCTTTTATTTTTTGAAAAGACTTGCTATTTATCTGAAAGACAGAGTTGACAGAGAGAGAGAGAAAGACAGAAAGACAGAGATAAGCATTTGGGCCATCCTCCACTGCCTTCCCAGGCAGAGAGCTGGATTAGAAGAGGAGCAGCCAGACTAGAACCAGCACCTTTATTGGATACAGAAGCAGACCTGCTAGGACTTGACCTGACACTCTGATATAGGATACCAGTATTGCATGGGGCAGCTTAACCCACTGGGCCACAGTGCCAGTCCCTACATGTTTTCTTATGTCTACATTTCCCCTTGTGGTAGCTTATATTTTTAGAATGCCTCTCTCTACCCCATTCTCTGTGGGCTAAAATTCCTACAATTTCTCCAAGTGTAACTTACATTTCACATCCCTTAAGAAGCCTTTCTCCAGATTCAATTGAGCCTCGATTTTTCTTCACCTTGAGTTCCTAAGGTTCTTTTTATGGCATTTCCTTTTTGGGGGATTCTTGTTTTCTTTTTGGAAAGATTTCAGTGTGTTAGTATTACTTCTTGAGCTGAATAATAAACTCCCAGAAAGTGGGACCATAACTGATTTCCCTAACAGATTTCATGCTAATCTTTGCAGAGTGCTGTCTGTATCATAGTCATCTAATTGCACTGGAAGTTTGGAAAAGTCAAGAAAAGGAAATGAGTTGTGGAAGTAGATCCGGGGATCCTTCCTCTTCATCGAAAACAAACACACAAAAGGAACACGCTCTTTGAGTTCTGCAGAGGAACACTTGTTAGAGTTGCTGTAGGTCCTCACTAATGCACTCCAGGTCTGCTGTGGGCATCTGCAGGACAAGAATCCCCACTGTCTGGGAAAGGGCCACGGAGGAGAGCCTGTGATGGGCGGCCCAGGGAGCCTCCTCCCACCCTGACGCGGGCTAAGGCTGGGAAGCTGTGCTTTCCAAGAGCTAGCACAGTGCATTTGCAATCTCCCCTCTGTGTCAACACAAAGGGCATATTTGATTGCTCATGTTTTATACTTTTTTTTTTCTGTATATAAAGAGAATCGAAAATGAATCTTGATGTGAATGGAAGGGGAGAGGGAGTGGGAAAGGGGAGGGTTGCGGGTGGGAGGGACGTTATGGGGGGGAAACCATTGTAATCTATAAGCTGTACTTTGGAAATTTATATTCATTAAATAAAAGTTTAAAAAAAATCATGTTTTATACTTTTTCATTTTAAATATTTTTTTCAGGACAAAAAGGGGAGGGTCGTTGGCTATTTTAGGAGAGTTTTATCAGTTTTTAGTTAAATCACTTCCAACCATTTGGCTTCAAGGTTACGATATACGCTTCTTCTACTGCTTTCAACCTTCCAAACTTATCTTGGGGGTCAATTGCTGAAGGATTGTGATTAAGCCCATTAAAAAGATGCCAGTTTTCAGTCAGCCAAAGCCCTTCTTCAGCAATGGAACCCTTCAGGTCATTCAATAGGTAATTGGCATCAAAATCCTAGATTGTGCTATGCCATTGAATTTCCCATCTGCGATGAGTGACATACCTTTTAAACATGTTCCTGATACATTTTAAAAAAGACTTACCTATTTATTTGAAAGGCAGAGCTGGAGAGACAGAGAGAGACACACAGAGAGTTCTTCATCTGCTTCACTCAAATGGCTGCAATAACCAGGGTTGGGCCAGGCCAAAGCAAGGAGTCAGGAGCTTCTTCCAGGTCTCCCAGGTGGGTGCAGGGGCCTAAGCATTTGGAGCCATCTTCTTCTGCTTTCCCAGGTGCATTATCAGGGAACTGGATTGGAAATGGAGCAGCCAGGACATGAACTGGCAGCCATATGGAATGCTGGTGTTGCAGGTAGTGGCCTTACCCACTATGCCACAACACTGGTCCTGTCCAGATACATTTTGGGGGATAATTTTTTTTAAAGATTTATTTATTTATTTGAAAGACAGTTCCAGAGAAGCAGAGGCAGAGAGAGAGAGAGAGAGAAAGAGAGAGAGAGAGAGAAAGAGAGAGAGAAAGAGAGAGAGAGAGAGAGAGAGAGAGAGAGAGAGAGAGGTCTTCCATCCTCTGGTTTACTCCCCAGATGGCTGCAAGGGCTGGAGCTGCAATGATCTGAAGTTGGAGCCAGGAGCCTTCTCTGGGTCTTCCATGTGGGTGCAGGGCCCAAGGACCTGGGCCATCCTCCACTGCTTTTCCAGGCCACAGCAGAGAGATGGATCAGAAATAGAGCAACTGGGACTTGAACTGGCACCCATATGGGATACCGGTACTGCAGGCAGCGGCTTTACCGTGTACACCACAGTGCCAGCCCCAGGGGGATTCTTATGTAGTGATAAAGTAAATATATTCAGCAACAGGTCTGGCCTTTGTCCCTGCTCTAACCCTTGGAATTTCCAGAGTGATAGGAGTGTCATTGCCACTCATAATGGAGCCTAAAAAACACACTTGGCCTGCTAGTTTATGCTAATGAGGTGACTCATTATAGCAGATGTCCACACCAGGAAGACCAGTTACGTGGTGAGAGCCGGTTACATGAGCCTCCCCTGTTAGAAGAGGAGGGGGCTGGAGGTTGAGTTCAACAGGAGGGCAGTGAATGGACCAGTCATGTCTACAAAATGAGACAACAACAGACCTCTGGACACAAAGCCTGGGTGCGCTTCTGTAGTTGGCAATGCTCCGTGTGAATTGTCAGCTCTCAGTGCCGGGAGAGTAGCGAGTTCCTGCAAATGAGGGGAGCTCTGTGTTTGGAAGCCTCCCAGATCTCCCTCAGTGCCTCACTTCCCTTGACTGGCTCAGGTTTGTATCCTTTTGCTATCATAAAACTGTAATCAAAAGTACAGTGCTTTCCTGAGTTCTGTGAGTCATTTTAGGCAGGTGTCAAACCTGACAGTGATTGTGGGAATCCCTGACACTGGTAGCTGGATCATCTGAAGTGAGGGTGGCCCTGGGCACCTCTGAACTTGCAACTGGTGTCTGAGGTGAGAGCAGTCTTCTGGGGACTGAATCTTCAGGTTCTGGCATTTGCCTAACTTGTTATAACAATCTATCAAGAAGATAACATAAAGAAGAAAGGAAAATAAAAAAATATGCCAACAATGAAACCTAGGTGATTCAAAATAATTTTTCTTTTTCTTCTAAAACAAAGTTGAATGAAGACAGGAGAGTGTATTTCTTCTGTATTTCATGTCTAAGAACTTATTAAAAATTAATAATTAAAAGGCAGAGTGATAGAGGGAGAAAGAGAGAGAGAGAGACAGACAGACAGACAGACATGGATTCCCTGTGCTGGTTTACTCCCTAAATGGCTACAACATTCAGGTCTGGGCCTGAAGCCAGGAGCCAGAAACTCTATCATGGTCTCCCACAAGGGTGGCACTTGGGCCATCTTCTGCTGCCTTCCCAAGTGCATTAGCAGGGAGCTGGATTGGAAGTGGAGCAGCTGGGATTCCATCTGGCATTCCAGGATGGGATGCTGGTGTTGTAGTCAGAGGTTTCACCTGTCACATCGCAATACCAGCCCTGAATAAGGCACTCGTTATCTGTCTTGAGAGTTTCTCTTACCTCCTTTTATCTCTTTCATCCTAGTTTCTCAGTGATCCCCTGAAAAGAAACAATAGCTTGATAGTTAACAGCAACAAACAAGCCCCAGCTCTTCTGAAGTTGGCTAAATGGAGGAGCATCTTCTGTGTGGTGAGGTAGGGGGACTGGCCAACTGTACGCTCATCTTCCATATAGGATTTCTTGGATGAGACCAACACAGGTAGCCCAAGTGTCCTCTGACCCAAGTGAGATACAAGTGTCCTTTCCCATGCTTCTCAGTCAAGTTGAGTCAAGGCTGGATTGTCTTATGAGCAGCACTGGAATAGACCACACCCCAAAAGCGAGACAGTAGTATGGCGCTCCCTCAATCCAATATTCTTTGTGAAGGGTGTATTTGGGAAGCAAAGAGAAAGAGTACTACTAGTGGAGTTTAGCCTTTTGTTGATATTCTCTGAGTAATTTAACCATTAACCCACATTTTCATACCCAACCTAGGAAATCACAAGTCCAGTGGTTAACTGATTTCATCTTGCTCGGAGGACCCGACCCCCAGGGTTTTTTCCCCCAACCTTCCTTCTTGGATGATTTCAATCACTATGCTTTCTCCTGGAGAGGAGCATTAGTAAGTACAGTGCCCTCCTTATTACATTTCTGGTGGTGGTGTAGCCCCTTCTAGAGGGGCACTGCAGGCAATGACTTAACTGATTGGGTCTCCATTACAAGTGGAGGGGGCACAAAACAGCCATAGAGCACTGTTAACCTAGGCAAGTGGTTTTATAAACACGTCTCTCTTGACAACAGGCTATTTCTACCCCATTCTTTGGGTGTTCTTGGGACCTTTTTCTTTCCTAACTTTGGGTCTCTAGTTATAGGGAGGCCATCATCTTTGTAAGTTCTACCTACAGATGCCCAACTAGATGCTGACCAGCACCTCGATGCTGACATCTGAACCTCTCAGCTTTGCTGTCTTCTCATTGATTAGCCTCTGGACGCTAATAATAACCCTTCCTGAGACCATCTCTGCTCAAGAGGTAGCCTCATCCTTGCTGTCCTTCTTAGAGTAACCATAACAGAACATACCATCATAACCCCAATAGTCATATAAAATTTATGGTAATGGGAGGTATTTTCTAGTCACCTCACTCCCCCTGACTGCCTTACACTCAAGATACCTTTCTTTGCTTCCCCAGGCTTCACTGTCAAAATCTCTTTATTCCTCCACTCACTTAAGAACCCTGAACTTGTTTCAATAAGTTGCCTGTTAGAAAAGAACTGATGAGCTAAATTGTAGGAAGGCGATCCTGGATAAGAACAGCTCAATGGGTAGTTCAGCTTTGGAGTGACAATGCTTTCAACCCAAATGAGCCAAGTTCCAAAAGGGGACTTAAGTCATTGTTGCAGATCACTAGGAAGAAATTTTGGGTCAGACAGACCTCCCTGGTTCAAGTTCAATCACATTTATAAGTAGAAACTTATTGCAGTTATTGCCTGCATTATGCCTGTCTTGTGGCTGGTTGCTTGGGCTATTTTGTAAGAGAGGAGATAGAAGAAGTAGGTTGCTGCTAGGAAATCTTTCATTCCATCTTTTTGAATTATGTGTAATGGGGACTATGTGGGGGGGTGGGGGGGGGGGGGGTTGTCATAGGTGATGGGTCACTACAGTTTTCTGGAAGGTGTCCAGAGCCTTAGGGTAAGTATGGTGATCCTTCTAGGAGCACACTTTTTTTTTCTTGGATATGTGAGGGAGATAATTACAGTGTGATTATTCATTGAAACATTAATTTGTATTTTGTTTTTGAAGTTGTGGGAGCAACAGAAGGAATGAAAGCTATTTGTATTTTTTTTCTGAATCCTGAGAAGGCCATTGTGTTATCTTCTTGCACTAGCAGCTTGAAGATAATCCATTCTCTAGGTTTCCTTTCAAAATCCTAAACCCCTTGAAATTCTGCTGAGGGCATGTGTGTGTATGCTGGGGTGTAGGACTGTGGGGATGAGAAGCAGAAGTGGCAGAATGAGGCAGTGCTGTGGCATAGTGGCTGGGCCTCCAACTGTGGCGTTGGCATCCTGTATGAGTGCCGGATCGTGTCCTGGCTGCTCCTCTTCCCATCCAGCTCTCTGCTTGTGGCCTGGGAGGGCAGTGGAAGGTGGCCCGGGTCCTTGGGTCCCTGCACTCATGTGGAAGATGTGGAGGAAGCTCCTGGCTCCTGGCTTTGGGGTGGCTCAACTCTGGCAGTTGCGGCCATCTGGGGGGTGACCCAGGGGATGGAAAACCTTTCTCTCCCTCTCTATCTGTAACTCTACCTCTTAAATAAATGAAATCTTTAAATTGGATCTTTCTGTTAAAAAAAAGTGGCAGAGAAGGGCTATTCTTGGAGTCCTGAGCAGAGGTGGAGGTCTGTTGGGAGCTGGGGTCCCTTTCCTCAGGGGAGCCTGGTTTGGGTGCAGGTCAGCCTCAGCAAAAGCCTCAGTGGCCGAGCTGAGGCTTGGTGAGGAAGGTTTGGCGCTTCCTTGCCACCTAATTCCATGGGCCGTGCACAGTTGGGCAATGAACCCAG